AGAAATGGCCAGCTCCTGCTGTTCAAGCCATCATTGATACAGCGCCCAGCGAAGTTGTGGTACTTTACATTATTTATTATTATGTTTATTTATTTATTTACAGAGTCTATATTTCCTCCAACAGTCTTATCGGTCATGTTACCATTATCATTAATCTTTTTCAATATCAGCTGGTCAAGCCTCGTGCTGCCTTTAAGTCCACTCCTGGAGGGCTTTTGGTCTCTGCTGATTTCTGTCAACTAGAACTTCGTCTGCTTGCCCATCTTTCTGGCGATACTGACCTTGTACACTTGCTTGTTCATGACGATGTCCATAGTCAACCTTCGACTGTTATTGCTGAGAGTGCATCCAAACGTCTTGGCCCACAAGAGCCTACTGATGACTCGGCTCTCCGTCCTAAAGCCTGTTGCCACGGCGATGCATTTCGAAAGGTAATTAAGGCTTATCGAAACCTTTTGTATAGATATGTGGGCAGTAAGGGCTTTAAGAGGTTGTGTATTTCAGGACTTGAGGTAATTGATCTTGTAGGGTAGCGGAAATTAATCTGGATACGTTATTTCTTTATGGCTCTGATTATGTCCGTCAAATGACTGACTAACGTTCAAAATGGATTTGTTGAGGTCGCTTGACGGTGAGCCGAAGTCTTTTTCACGTAATCTCGCAGTCATAACCATAAGGCACTCCTCTTAGGAGTTTGGCGAGGCCAATTTACGACTCCCTTACACCTGCCTTTTCAAATGAAATTAGTGGTATGCCGACATTACAAGGAGTTGGTAACTCGATATATTCTTCGCCCCTCCGATAAGTGAATATAACGTCTAAAAGCACTTTCGGTACAAAAGGTGGGCATATATACCCTTGTCCCTTATTCTAAAGACATCCAACTAGTGTTTTGATGAAAGTATCATTGTCATCAGTACATGGGAACCATTCCGATAGAGGGCTCAACAAAATCCCACCAACCTCGAACTCGATTCTCTCTGAATCCCTCTATGGCTTCAGAGCTCGTTGATCATTATTGAATCTATTGGTTGTTTTGGAAAGGCTGGTGGGATCAACCTAGGAATCTCTCCATCATGCGCTTTCATACGAATTGAAATTCCTTCCAACAATCAAATCCCAAAAGGCTCATTGAATATATATATATGAGTATGTATATGTATATATAATGTATGCCAGATTCAAGTATTGTTAGGTATGAGAGCCCGAACCAAACTTGAAGCTGTGTAAACCTTGAATGTCGCATACATCTAATGCACATTAACAGATACCTAAGCATTTGCCAATGCTATTTCTTTATATTAGGAAACAGATGCAAACTTATGCACTTCCTTTTATGAATTAACCTCATCTATCAGCCTGCATGAAGGAACTAACCAATTCATAAGATACCTCTTTAAGATCGAAAACTTCTGTATAGCAATGTAGTATGCTCGTAGCCGTACAACTTTTCTCTTCATTTAGTATATCGATGCTTTTTTTAATAAACCATCCTCTCGCTCTGACCATGTCTGTTACATTACAAATGAATGCTCAGAATGGGTTAATGGGGAGGTCGCAGGACCGTAAGCAGAGCACTTCTTTGCACAGTCCAACAGTCTTTACTTCAAGGCGATCATTATTCAGTTTCGGATGAGACAATTTCACAAATTTCATTAGCAATAGAACGTCATGTCACAATCACCCAACTTAAATTACTAATCGTATTTAAATACCATTTATAATATGAGTAAATTTTTTACCAAACTTCTATTCGTTTTTATACCTACCCTTTCATATTCATCTAGTTGGCTGCGCATTGGTTGAATCGCCCA